TATTATTATTATTATCCTTTTGCATTTTTATTTCTCATTTCCCTCTTTCTCGCCTCCATCTCCATCTTAACAGGCGTGTGAAAAAATAGGACTAGAATACGACATCCTTTAAAACGAAAGGTCTTCCCTTCTCTGAGAAACGCGATGATATGGAACCGGGTCCATATTACCTGCGAGAATCTTCACAGATATATGTGCATCGGCGTCCGCCCGGGCGCAGGGCGATCTGGATTTAGGGTTAAAAGTCCCTAACTTCAAAGCTGTTCGAGGAGGAGGTGCAGGAGGGAGTTGACGATGCAACAAAATAAGGGGGGGGGGGTTGGAGGCTTAGTTTGTTTAAATGATTTCCACTGGCCAATAGGATCCGCATCCGGTTTAAGACGGTTTATTTCTCCTTAAAGACTATTTAGCATCCCTGGGAAAGCGTTTGGGGAAGAATGGAAATCCAAACGCAAATTCGGTCCTTTGTTTATAGTCTTAATTGAACAAAGGGGAAGCCAAATGTACATTTTTTAAAAAATGAAAATTCCCCTTGTTTTCTTTTTTTTCGTAAAACGACCCAACGTGGATTTCAAGACTACTCTGGACGTCATCCTGTAAGAGATAAGGCTGATACATGTAATGTACGGGTTTTTATTCTTCACGCCCCGCAATGAGGTCTCAAATCAAGGGCGGTGACCCCTTTTCCTGGTCCCCTATACACTAGAAGAAACCCGCAAATGCACCTTCATGGTCTCCCCCCTTCTTTCTTTCCTCTTCGGCCCCTAATGACCTCAACTCTCATTTCCTTTTTCTGCTAACCTGGGGACATTGATTTCTCCTTTACCTAATTTTTTTTTCTCTCTCTCTGAAAGGTAAGGCGATCGGACGCCTACTTTTGTCTTTAGCAGACAAATTATCTTAAGGTAATAAATCCATGAACCTTTGAGGAAGGGGCGTGAGTGCAGGAAGATGCCACCCCGATGATGGTAGATAAAGTCTTTAAAATATATATGTTATTAATATAAACCTTCTGCACACGGCGCGCCGGCGGGTGCACAGGCGAGCCTGTTTCTCTGTGTCTGGATCGGTCTCTCCGTGGGATGTTTTCAACGAGTCAGCCGCGTTGGTCTGTTTGACCGCGGATAACAAAAATAAATCTTTTTTTTTTAAAGGTGCATTCC